ACCAAATCCATAAAGTTAATAAATATACATCAACAAATATAAATATTGGAAAACAACCCAACAACATGTATATGTTAATCAAAGGTGTTTAAAAGCCTTAAAGAAATATTTTAGACACTCAAATATCAAGAATGAGTTTCGCAGACCCGAACGGTCAACGCAAACGGTCGACCGCCGTATTAATTTTCAAAACGGACTACGACTGTCAACAGAACGGTCGATCGCCGTAGCGAAACAGTCAACTGCCCAAGCCCAGCTGAACGTCGCCACATCTCAGGCAGTCAACAATGGTCGACCGCCGGTCAAGCACGGTTGACCGTCACGGTGATCCGAAACTGACGAGATGATTTCATGCACGGTCGACCGCTGTGTCAAACGGTCGACCTTTATTAGCCCCGTAGCTTAATTAAATGATACTTTAATCATGTTTCAACCAAACAAACTCATGCTTGATTATATACTCATATTGTGTTCAAATTGTTCATATTATATGATTCATGTCATCATTCATATTGAAGCATATCACATCATATGCATGCGTAAGAGATCATGTCTTGTGCGTCTCTTATAGCCTGATTTCAAATTGAAGCATAACACATCATATGCATTCGTAAGAGTTCATGCCTCGTGCGTCTCTTATACCGTGATTGTGCGGGACTTAGCAGTCCGACATCACACGTTCAGGCTTAGTGTACGTACATGGTATTCAGGCTTTCGAGTACCACCTTCATATTGTTTCTAGTCTCATTTGTGAGACTAAGGTGGTGTGAGTTCATCGTACAAACTGGGTGAATCTCATAGTGTAAGGGCCATCCTTGCACGTTAGTTTCATGCATCATGTTATCATCATCAAGTAAAATCATATTGATCATATGTGCCATCATGTAACCATCAACAAGAACAATCATATTGATTATATGTGTCATCATATAATCATCATCAAGTATAATCGTATTGATTAAATGTGCCATCATGTAATCATCATCAAGTAATTATCATCATGAACCATCAACTTAATCGTATGATATAATGTGCCATCTCATTAATATTATTATACATTTTGTGGACGTATATATATGTATATGTACATGTCTGTGAATTATTCTACAATTCTAGCGTGGTACCACTCGGCGGTTTCGCTGAGCGTGTAGTTTGTATTTTTTGTTGACTACACATAGGTAACAAGAAGATAGTGACGGAACCACTTTCGGAGGGCATTGAGTCAGAGGAGATGCAAGCTAAGGATGACAGACAAATGTTTGATAATCAAGATTTTAAATGTGTCATGATTTGACTATTATTGTACTTCCACATTACTCTGAAAATATTTTTAAGTGTTTTCATCAAAGGAGATGCATGGATGGCAGGCAAATGTTTGATCATCAAGATTTTAAATGTGTCATGATTTGACTATTATTGTACTTTTGCATTACTCTGAAAATATTTTTAAATGGGTCGCGATCCAGAGTTGTAAATTTAACATTTATAAGTAATTGTCATTTTCAAATGCCAAGCGAAATTTTTATTTAACTCCGATATCACCTTAATACGTGTAATTCCGGGTTATACGAATTTGGGTGTTACAACTTTTCATCCACAGACGGATGGACAGTCCGAAAGAATTATCCAAATACTTGAAGATATGATGAGTAGCTGTGTTTTAGAATTAGAAGGGAGTTGGGAGAGATACTTGCCGCTCTGGAATTTGCATACAATAATACTTACCAGGCAAGCATGCAGATGGCTCCTTATGAAGCTCTTTATGAAAGAAAATGCATACCACTTTTATGTTAGACGGAACTTAGTGAAAATAAGCTTGTGGGACCTGATTTTGTTAGAGGTGCAGAAGAAAAGGTAAAATTGATCAAAGAACAATTACAGATCGCATCAGACCGACAAAGATCTTATGCAGATTTGAAAAGAAGGCATATTAAATACAATGTTGGTGATAAGTTATTTCTGCGAGTGTCACCATGGAAAAAGGTTCTACGATTCGGGAAGAAGGGAAAAGTGTCACCTAGATTAATTGGCCCCTATGAAGTTACCGAACGTGTAGGACCAGTAGCATATAGGTTAGCTATGCCACCGGAGTTGAACATAATCCATGTATTCCAGCATAGATACGAGTCTGCTATATCCAGTCTGGGGCGAGTACACTAGATCAGTTCGCGTCATCTTAACCTACTTGCTGATAGGATACTTCTTCTTGGTCATGTTTAAAACCGTACTCTTTGATTTTATGAGTATTTGTTCTGTCATGATAACCAGTTTCATAAAACCTCTTTAGTATCATGGCTTCTTTCGATGGATCCTAACAGAAGAATCGATGCGCATGCAATACCCTCAACTTTTTCCTACTGCATAATAAGGTAAAATTTCGAGGACGAAATTTCTTATGTAAGGAGAACTATAACGCCCCAAAAATTAGCCTAGTCATTTATAAATAATTATAAACAATTAATGCATGAAGATACTATGTCCTAGTACATATTTTAAAATAAAATACTAAACAATAAATAATAATAATAATAATAATAATAAAATATATAAAAAAATAAGATTACAATTATGAAATAAATATAATAGGATAACATTTATCATAATCTAATAGGCCTGACCAACTTGGCCCTGCAATATGGATAAGGATGATCCCCAAGGGACACTAATCGACTTGGTGAAGGGATAAAGTAAAGCTATACACTTAGTTTCATCTTTAGCTATATCAATTTAATTACCAAACAAGCTATGAGTGAACCACTATAAATAGGGGACATACTCTCCTCTTTGCTCTCCTAAAATTTACAAAAAAAAGAGACATCGAGGTCTCAATGAAAAAAAACATTGGAGTTACTCAAGGTTCGCCGAAGCCCCCCTGCTTAGATTTCGTCAAACAAAGGTGAGTACCTCCGCCCGTATAACAATCGTTACTTAATATTATACGTTAATATATGCTATATTTGTTATATATTCAATTGATTTACTTTCCATATCCAATATTCAGGAATGCCGCCGACTTTTATTCTAAACATGCGTTACGTCAAAATTATCTAAAATGTTTCCCAAAAGGATTCTATGATGTCATTTTAAGGATTTACAAATAAAAAAATGAGGTTTGAAACAAACTTCCGAACAACTCGATTTAAGAAAAATGATGGAAAAATGGTTTCTTTGGCGGCGAATGATTTTAATAAATTACCACGTTCATCCTACTTCTTCAGAGTCTAGAACACTTCTTTTAATGGAATCATAAAGGAAAACACAGATTAAACGGAAACCATCGACGACCCGACAAAGAGGATGCCTGGAAAATGGGTCTCGATGGCAGCGTGCAATTTCTACAAACTTTTACGTCCTGGCCTTCTCTATATATTCCATAAGAAGTATTTTGATAAATTTTTGAAGGGCTGGTTGTTCTTGTTAACTACGGAGTATAAAATTTTTGAGTGCACAAGTTTTTCCCTCTTTTATTCTTGGTTTGAAATAATCCAGTTGTGTTCTATTAAATTGGGCATGAATCATGGTTCTCTGTATATCAGAAATGAACATGGTTAAACTTTTAAACATAAATCTATACAAAATTCAGTGAATATGTGTAGCATACAAATACCTCCGAATCATGGAAAATGATTTACATGGTGTTTTCTTTTCAAGAACGAGTAGAATGGTTGTAAACTCTAACAGCTCTCACGCAAATCGCCCAATCTTGTTTGCTGTTGTCCAAATCTTTTAAATTTGACCACAAGCCACCCCTTCCACTTGATGCATCTGACATTTTGTTTTCTTCTTTTGCAGGGTTGGAATTGGTTGTGATAAAGTTATGAGGAACCATACCGAATTGGGAAAAAGATCAAAGTAGGATTAAAACATTGAAATTATACTAAAATAGGACTTTCATGTTTTTATTCCCGAAATAGGACTTAGAATACCAAACATGGTCATATACATTACCAAAAAAGCATAGTAATGTGCACATATACATTGCCACATTACCACAGTGCAAAGTCTTATTTCGGAAAAAAAGATGAAAGTGCTATTTTGGTACTTTTCTCTATGTTTTAGTCCTATTTATGGTGATTTCTATACCGAATTAGCCAACGTTTTAGTAGTGTGTTGGATAGGTGGTGTAGTGGTGGGAGGTTGCTGTCCAAATTTTTGGGGAAGTGGAGGGCTGTGAAACCACACGTACTGACATTTTTTTAATTGTTTATTGTTTATGTTGTATAAAAAATATAAGTTGAGTTTCCTATTTTTTTGGCAGCATGGAGTGGGGTGTTCTTTTATTTTTTTTTCTTTATTTATGAAAACTGCCTAGAATATGATTACTAAAACCTTTTTAAAATGTTTTTTGAATATCATTTACTTAGTTTTTGTAATAATTAAGAAAAGCTCTTTAAATATTATGGTTTTATGTTAATTTGCTTAAATTTAATGGATTTAATTTTAATATAATGGATTTTAATAATATTAGTTTTAAAAGCATAAAAAATGTTCTGATGTTTGAGATGTGACTGTTTAGTATATTGTTTTTAATGTTTGAAACTAAATACAATTAAGGGCCTGTTCTTTAGGACTGAAAAAAAGAGCTGGAAACTAGAAGAAATTGGAAGAAACTGGAAGGAACTGGAAGAAACTGGAAGGACTGGAAGGACTGGAAGAAACTGGAAGAAACTAGAAAAAATTAAAAGAAACTGAAAAAACTAGAATAAATTGTAAAATCTAAAAAAAGTTTTTAAAAATTTTTTATGTGTGATTTTAAATTGTTCTCATTCTGATTCTTGTTGATATAAATTATTATTATTGCTATTATTATTATTATTATTATTCTTGTTGTTGTTGTTGTTAGTTGTGGTGGTGGTGGTGGTAGTGGTGGTGTTATTACGTTATCTAAATGATTGTCTTTAAAATAAAAAAATATTACGAATATTATTTTCATACATAAAAAGATAGTTTAAAAAAATAATTAGAATATAAAATTAGCATAAATATCAAAATGTTAAATAGTTAAGAGTTATTATGCCACCGCCGTGTATTAGGTATAAGGTAACTTATAATATTAGTATTTTTAGAAATATGGCTTCGGGACGGAGGTCTCATTGGACTGATGATGACGATGAGAAGTTCGTAGATTTGCTAATTGATCAAAGAATGCAAGGGGCTTCAAAATTTGAATGGGGCGACATTAAAGTAATGTTAAGGAAAGTTGTGAAGACAGAGAGAACAGAGAAACAAATAATAAACCACTATAATGAATTGTCAAAAAAGCTCAAAGCATGGGAGGCACTTATAAACATGACAAGTGGTGTGCCTATTGTGGGGGATGCTAGGTGGGAAGAGTTCATTAAGGTAACTCATTTAATTAAAAGCATGCTTTAATTAGTATAGTGTACACGCACTTCATATAATAGAACACTTAAAATAAACTTTAATTGACATGCAGAACAATCCAGGATGTAAATCATTTCGCAAGGGACCTCCTGCACTTATAGAGAAGTTGCGAGTATTATTTGGTGGTAGGCAAGCAACTGGCAAAATGAGCTTTTCTCCACGATTAATTCCTTCTGCTAGCATTGCGAGTGAAAAAGAGAATGTACCAAGTATTGATATAGATCACGAGAGCGAGTCTATTGAAGATCGTAATGGAACTCTTGATGAGGATGTACAATGCTATAGAAAGGAGGACGTTGACTCTCCTCGTACAAGTTCACAAGCTACTTTTTTAAAAAGAAATTTTGAAGATAAGAGCTCAATGCATAACAAAAGGCAACAACTTTCTAAGATGAAAATCCAAGAGTTTGAGATTGACAATGCTCTCTCCATTATTCGCATGAAGGAAGAGGCAAAAAAAGAACCATCCATTTATAAACAAGTCGTCGATAGGCTTAAGGCAATACCTATTATTGTTAATAAAGGAGTTGACTTTATCTTTGAAGCACTAGAAATGATTAAGAATGCAGATGACATGGCATACTTTTTAGCAATGGATGACGAGCCTGCAGTTAAGTTTTTGATGAAACGATTGGGTGGAATTTGAGTGTTTTTAGATTGTAGGCCTAGTACTCTATTTATACACCTTACTTGGTTTAAAGTATATTTATTTTAGTTATATTGTTTAGACTTTTAAACATATTAGTGACTTGACTTTATGTTATCATGCTATTTTTTAAATTAATAAAGTTATCTTGTTTGTGATATGGTTTGTGTTTGTTGCATGCATCTAAACTACTCGTATACCACTTTGTGTATTTGTAATTTTTTGAATCCTTTGATCTAATTATTTGTTGTCATATTACGTGCAATGCAGAATGGATGAAGAAGAACGTGCGGTTTATATTTTAATCCTACATAAAATAAAACGAATCTTGTCAAAACGATCTCGAATGCAATTTTCAAAAATACCACGAACAATACATGTCGAAAGTGGGGCAAAATATATGCATAAAGTTTTATATGGTCAAAATATTAATGCATGTGCAAATATTTTTCGCCTTGAAAGAGATGCTTTTATACTTCTTGTTAACACAATCTTAGAGAGAGGGTTGCTTGAAGAAGGCCGTTTTATTAATGTAGCAGAACAAGTTGGGATATGTTTATTCATTTTAGCAAGGGGAGCAAGCTATCGGGATGCAGAAGATCGATGCCATCATTCCTTATCCTCAATAAGTAAATATCACAAGCAAGTCTTGAAGGCGTTGCTGGCTCTATCTGTCGATATTATAAGGCATTATCAAAATGCAGATGAAGTGCCCAAAGAAATTGCGAACAATACCTTGTATTGGCCTTTTTTTAAGGTAGGTCAAGGATCACTAAAAAGTATTATTAAATGATCTTATAAGTTTTCAATAATTTTTTACATGTTTTTGTTTTGCATAATGTATGATTATAAAATGTTTGGTTATAATGTTTAATTCTTTTCTTGAAGGATTGTATAGGAGCTCTAGATGGAACACATATTGAAGCTCGTGTAGGTGATGAACATGCTCAACCTTTCCGAGATCGTAAAGGGAACAAGAGTTGGAATGTTTTGGCCGTATGTTCATTTGACATGTTTTTTACATATGTTAATGCCGGTTGGGAAGGGAGTGCTCATGATGTTAGAATAAAGGCCCAACGTTAGAGGAGGGGTGAATGGCGTTTAAAATAAAATCGCATGAAATTAAAAACGAGTGCGTTAAAGTAAAGAGCGTAAGGAAGGAGCACACCGAGTTTTATCCTGGTTCACCACAACGTGTGGCTAATCCAGCCCCCCGAGAGACTCTCTCGAGCTACACTAACTCCGTTAAGCTTAACACCTTTGCTCGGAGATACCGCACTCCAAGACTTCTCACGAAGGAACAAGGAACTTCCTTCGAGTTTACAACAAGGGAACGACCTCCCTTAAAGTGTATGAAAACACTTAAACACTCAGGAATAAAACTCTCACAAAGAGTAGATATGAGTGAACTAGTAAACGCTCAAGAACACGACAATTTCTTCAAGAATTATTGGCTCTCAAATAGCTAAGAAAAATAGGAATGCTTGTGCAATGAAAGAGTATTGAAATGTTGAAGAATTGTGTGTAAAATGAGAGGATTTGGGTGCCATTTTATAGCCCAAAAAGGGATAAACCCGTTGCTAGAATTTCCAACAGGATGAAGACAAATTTTTCAGGGACACAGGCTGATAGTCGATTATCAAAGCTTGATAATCGATTATCCAAAGATTCCCTGTCCAAAAATTTAAAATTCTATCCGTTGGAGGACAACGGTAACCCAGATAATCGATTGTCAACAAGTGATAATCGATTATTGGTCCTCTCAGAAGATTCTGGATTTTGGCTGCAAAGACCGATAATCGATTATTGCAAAGCTGATAATCGATTATTGCGTGCTTCAGAACTTTGGAAGTTCAAAGCTGCAGGGGCTGATAGTCGATTGTCACTAAGGTGATAATCGATTATCACCCAGCTAAAGTCTAGCCAGCTGAAACCCGTTTTGAAAAACCGAGGTCCAAAAACGAAGTGTTCCC